CCCCAAAACCCCAAAACCCCAAAACCCCACAAAAATGTACTCAGTCCAAATTCTGATCCAAACTCCACTCCCTTATTCCTCTACCACATCCCAATCTAATCCCTCCACACCAATTCCACTTCAACTCCCCTTATTCCCCCAAGCCTTCCTCTTAACCCAAATCTATGCCTAAACTTCACTTCCCTCACCTAATCTTTGCTCTGAAAGTCTCTATAGGGCAATTATCCTAAATTAAATTCCTAAGTTTCTTAAGAAATTAGGTGTAATTGTCTAGGCCAGATGGCTTATTGGGGCTGTATAGGGGTTTTGGGAGTTTTGAGGAAGAGATTTGAAGAAGTGGGGATGGGGGTTTGGGCATAGAGCAGTAAGTCTGTTTTGGATGGGCAATTTAGGGATGTAGTATGGATGTGAGGAGTCAGTTTTGGAGTTTTTAGGTGGAGATTGTGATTTTAGAGTTAGGTTTTATAGATTGGAGAAAGGAGTTTAGATATATCTTGAAGATGGTCCGGTTCTTAATAAACCATCGGGCATTTATCAATCATTTTAGTTTGAAGAAAATTTATAGTAAATTCCTTTCGTAATCTCTACTTTGGTTTTGATTTAATGCATTCTTCTATCAGAGACACTTAATTCTTGTTGAAGAAATTAATTATGAATACAAACTGATTCTTCTTTATGCCTTCAGTAGCAAAATATTTTATTCTCAATGCTTCTGTTGGTCGAGCTAAATTATCTTGATCGTTTGCTTTGTTTGCTTTATCAACTGCATCGTTTTTTTGCTCTTTTGACTACTATCTTTGTTAAAATGTGAGCTTTCTTTTTGTTCAACTATTCTGTCATATTTGAGAAGATTACTCAAAAAAGATTGAATAGTCTTCAAAACATATTCCTGATAGATGAAACCTATCATCTTCATTATAATCTCCCTCAGTTTGCTCTATCTATATTTGTAAGTCTTCAAAGCCCATGAAATCCTTCTCATCAACTGTGGAGTCATTTCATTTCTGACTGTTTCAATTTTCACTCTAGGCTTGTCAATAATCTGGTTAAATTTTGAACAAATTTCTTCATGTCTAAATTCTTAAAATCTCTCTAAGTAAAATCAAAATGCTTACATAAAATCTGAATCTGATTTTGGAGTTTCCTTGGCTGGTGACATGCTTGACTCTCACTTTGACAAGCAGCCATATTTGCACTTAATCAAATGGTTTTCTATGAATTTAGTAATAATCAGTGTTCTCTAGTAAGAAATTTAACCTATGAAGATTTTGATGATTGCTCAGTAAAGACTTAAGAGTTTAACCTCCTTTTGGTGGACTAGAAATAATTTATGACTGACAAGTTTTGATTCACAAAAAAGGGAAATAAGAATAGTAATATTTACTCTTGAGGGTTTGCTTTCACAAATGTCACAATATGAGGTTTGCTAAAAGAATTAAGAATTAATTTTTTTGAGGATATTAATATTTATTTGATGAATAGATGTCAGCTTTAGTTCTTTCAATATCCTCTTTGGTTTTTAACTTTATTAAAATTACTCAGACTTATACTAAATTTCTGGAATTATTATTTATATTTGTCATTTACGATCTAAAGACTTACCCGATTGAAAGATAATAAATTCTGATGAAATTATACGGATAAGCAAAAATAAGATTAAAATTTCAGAATGAACCGTACTATTTTAAAGAATTATGATATAAAAGCTGGATCGCCTTCTCATTTTTCGTATTTGACATAATTTAGGTTCCACTGCTTTTCATTATGCCAAGTTATCTTCTCAGGCTTTTTGCAATTTCAATGTTTTAGCCAGCAGTCGTCAAGGTCTATCAATATATTTTTGGACTCCACTTTAGTTGCAAATTTATCTAGTGTATCTTTGTCAAGTACGAAATTATGTAAATATAATCTGAAATCTCCTGCTTCCATTATTTTGCTAATTCAGCTTTCATATGGTGAAAATCAGAGGAAATCCAATTTTAAAGTATTGATGAACTCAATCTCCTTGCATACTTTGGGATTCACTCAGGTATCAATGAATTCTCTGATTATCAGTTCATCACCATAGTTTTCTGGAAGTTCAAAGGTATATTTTTCAACGTCAATCGGTTGCTTCTTTTTGATAAATTCTTTCATAAAATCAACATCATCTTTGTTAGATAAATTCAGTGAAAGCTCAGACAAATATTCCTTCAGATTTCCTTTTGGAAAATATTTAGATCTTAGATCATCAGGAGACTGAATGCCAACAATATCAACAGCTTTCTTTGATTCTTCAGCGAAAATGGTAGGTTCAATTGATTTATCTAGGTTGTCTTCTGATGCTTTTGTTTCTTTATTAGAAATATATTCACTTTCTGTAGTATCACTGCTTGTGACACTATTTTTCATATCAAACAATATCGATTCGTATAGAAAACTCATGACTCCCATTATCACCTCTTCCTCTCTAAAATCATCTAAGAATTTTTCCAACTGAGTCTCTCATTTCCTAAATTTTTTGACTCTTCCTTTCTCAAGAGCCTTAATTGTATCACAACGAATTATTTCAAAATCTTTCTTATATAGTTCTAGGATTTTTTTAAACTTTGGAAAGTATTCTTCAAGGCGGTAATAATCAAAGTCACTTTCGACATTGTATATTAGCTCTTGACTATAATCAATCATATCATTGAACTCTTGAGAAATAATGGCAATCTCTTCATCTCTTTGGCCATTAAGCAAAGATTTTCAATAGCCTCATATAGGTTTCGGATGACTCTTACAGTACTTTAGAGTGGTTTTGTTGCGCCATAAAGTGCTTCAAGTTACTTTCATTTAATTTATAATGAAGGTGAAAGCCATCATTATATTATAGGCGAATTGTTCGAAATTAGCGCCTTCAGAATATCCTATTTCAATCTTTTGTATTCTCGAAGGGGTTTTGGGGTTTTGGGGTTTTGGGG